CCAGGAACTTTTTATGGAAACATTCTTTTAACATAAAAAGGATTTAACATTTAGAATTTACATTTAATCAAGACAATAATGTTATTTTTTGCTTTTGTGTAGCAAGAAGAGACAAAGGTATGTCAACTGAATCTAATATATTGTCATTCTGACCATTATATGGAAGGTCTCCTTCCTGATCTGAATGCAAACTTTATGTCACTTGAAATCAACCACTTACAGTGTATTCAAGAGACGCATAGATTTTAATATTGAAAATTATAAATCTTAAAGAATTCTTTTGATTGATTGATTGGTGTTTAACGCCACTTTCAGCACTATTGTGCTATTTCATAGTGGTCAGTGTTTGTTGATGGAGGAAATCGGAGTGCCCTGAAGAGAACCACCAACCTTCGGTAGGAAAACTGAAAATCCTAGTCAATTAAGATTTTGAGTCGAGTGCACCTGCCACATGCTGGATTCAAACTCACAACCTCAGTTTTGACAAGCTAGTGAAGCAGTGGTTCAACTTCTTAGACCACTCGGCCACAGAGACCCCTAGAATTCTTTTTAAAGACCATGCATATTCTAAAGCAAGGTTACATATTGTCTGAAAACAGTTTTTAAAATCTAGGACATCATGAAACAATGACGTCACGTCACCACATGTGAATCTTCCCACAACACGCTTAAGTTACAGGATTTCCTGTAGTTGGTGATCGCAATACTGGTATACAATTTTGTACCAGTACTGTCTTCCAGTATTGTACCAGTATTGTGGTTTTTTTTAAATAAACAATACATATAAGTTATTAATCTTTTATTAAAGGTGTCACATGATGTAATTAATATATGACATGACAATTTTATAAGACCATACAAACAGTTTAGCTATAGGAGATCCAAGTTACAGAATAATCAACATTTCCCTATATCTTAATCGGATCACAAAACTGAATTTTTACAAATTAAGTAACAATATTTGTCTGAAGATATCAAGTCTGATGGCTTCAGACCACAATTAATTCCCGTTGTTCGTGGTCTAGGAATATAGCTCCTTCCCAAGTATTATATGGGGTATTTCTTCCGAAGTATTATGACTACTGTTTTCTTTGAAAAGTTTACTATTAAAGTGGTCCTATCAGTTGCATATATATTGAACATACCTGCCAACCTCTGAAACCTTCAAAGAGGGAGATCTCCCTCTCAGCTATGACAGCTGAGGGGGAGATTTTGGGCGACCGACACTTTCAAGTGAAATATATGACGTGTTTATTTATTCATTTACGAAACACATATAAGAGTTAATAGATATACATTTTGTACTTTGTTTCTTTAGATATCGTTATATCCTACAGAAGCTGTGTTCTTTGTTTCTTTCCTATTTCATCATCTCTGACACTTGAATCTCATCAGGACAACTTTTCACCCCAGATACCTCTGTTATTAGAGAGCAATCATGTTGTCACAGATGGTGCATTATGTTTGTCTTAAGGCATACAAAATCTGTTAATTGCCATCCTTTTATGATTCTTTGTTTAATTTGTATTTAGTTTATATTGTTTTATCAATTCACATTATTTTAAGAAGGGTAACTTAAAACAGGATTAAACAGGGGAAGTAACCCGAAATTTCTCTGACATTCTGACCCAATCTAATACTTCGTCGTGCAGTGAGCCAGGACCCCAGGCTACTTTAAAGTGTTTTTAATAACACAAAGCTTGAAGCAAAAGTCGTTAATGATCGTTAATTAGTACTATGTTTGACACCCAAGCTGTCAAGTGAGGCCATTTAATTTCACATGGTCTGTGATTACAGGTAAAAACAACCCTCATCAGTGACACAAAAACGTAATTAATGTTGACTTGTCATTCAAGGTTAAGATATCCAAAAGCGGGAGATTCTTTACTCCCGCGCGGGAGGGTACCGGCAAGCGGGAGATTTCCTGAATTTAGCCATTTGAGCGTGAGTCTCCCGCTCAAAACGGGAGGGTTGGCAGGTATGATTGAAGTAAGTAAAACATGTGGGAAAAATTTATTGTTGAAAGTGAAAGTAGTGATTTGGCCAAAATGAAAGTAGGGTAGAAATTAGCCTTCAGCATTTATTCGATTCAAATTCTACCATTGGCATGTAAATAGGGCTCTCAAAAGAAAAAGCAGAGATGGATTGTCCTGGGACAAGCATAATAATAGTTGAATAATAATGGTCTATAAGCAGTTAAATTTATTACATGTTTAGACTGGTATAATTTTTTTAATTCAAATTGACTTTTACAAAGAAATGCATTGTAACCAATGGAAAAAATAATTGTGGCCTGAGGCCTGATAATTTTATGCAACGCATCCATTATTGAATAAAACGGCAGGTGAAGGCAACTGATGGTCACTGTTCCTTGACCAGTACAGAGACATATAAAGCATTGTATTATAGATCTCTGACCAGTAAAAACTTATTAACATATATATGAGGTTCACTTGTTGTCAAGTATCGAGTTGCGAGTTACAAAAGCCGAGTTGCGAGTTAAGAAAGTCGAGTTGCGAGTTACGAAGGTAGAGTTGCGAGTTACAAAGGTCGAGTTGCGAGTTACTAAGGTCGAGTTGTGAGTTAAGAAGGTCGAGTTGGGAGTTACTAAAGTCGAGTTGCAAGTTACAAAAGTCGAGTTGTGAGTTACAAAATTAGATTTGCGTGAAAATGGGGAAAACTATTTTAATTTTTTGGTGTACCGGTACCTCTTTAACATTTTTGAATTATGATTGCTTATAGAATTGTATACAGTATTGTTGATTCTTTTTGTTGTTTGGACTTCATCTGAGTCTGGTGTAAAAAAAATATGAATGGATTGCTTACATAATCACTACGCAAAGTATGGTTATTTTCTGAAGAAACAGATAGCCGTTTGAAATACAGCGGATGGCTTGTAGTTTAATTATTATTAAATTTCATAGCTAGCACTGTAATATTAAACGTAAAGATAGATAGCAACTAAACTATAGTACATATACAATGTATGTAAAAGACCCCTTCTGCAGATTTCGTTAAGAGTGGGCTCTTTGGGGCAGCTGCAGAGGAAATATTTGTTAGGGACCCCAAAATATATTCTTTGGCAGTGACACTCAAAATTGTGGACTACTCAGTATATAATAAACATTTTATATATAATGAACAATGGCTATCTAATTCATTTTTTGGGGGTGCATGTGTCCTTTAAGGATACATTTTTTTCAAATATTTCTAGAAATAAAAACACCAAATGTGTTTTTTGTTTTCATTAAAATCCGAACAATTTATTAGAAACTTAATGTCAATATATATATTTTCTCCTAATTTTCAGTGGAAATAATCTTTAAATTTATTCACATCCATTCTAGACAATATTCCCAGCTGATATCTGAAACTACAACATTTGTATCAAGGCTGCATGCAGGTAAAAAAATGACAGACAAGGCTTCCGTGCTCATACAGTAAAAACACACGCAATAAACATTCCTTAAAACTGTTCCTTAATTTTTTGTAACAGCGGTATAGCTTATTGTGGAATAATGTCTTTTCAAATTAAAAAAAAATCCATTTTATGATCTCCTATGCCAGGAAGTTACCATAATGCCATAGAAAGACATCTATAGCATGCTTATTTTTGCGTTGTAGTATTCAGATATACATACATTGAACAACTCGATTATTAACTATTTGATATATATATACCATCTCCGCATGGGGTTGAATCACAAAGTTAACAAAGTTCAAAATTATCTAATTTATCACATAAAGCACATAGCATAACACATTTCTGACTAATTCATGAGATATTTTCATAAGTTAAATGTGCAATAGTGCCTATATCACCCTAAACCTTTGCGAAAGACGAAGAGTTAGCACTTGGTATGCTAATGAATATCCTTTATTCAAGCGTCACTGATGGGTCTTGTATAGACGAAACGCCCGTCTGGCGTAGAAAATATTATTAGCCTGGTACCTTTGATAAGTATTTACTTTAGGCCTAAAACAGTGCTATATTCTGTGTAATTTACAAGTATATTTCATTTGTCTACATGATTTATTTTCTTATGCTTGATTTGTTCAGTACGGTATACATTTGTCTTATATCTACAGTATATCCTGTTTTATTTTAGAAAATGAACAATGTCGCTCTCATGAAAGAAATTTAAGTGTGCGTGACTTTGCAACATATAGACTCTTATAAATAAGTATCACATAACTCTTTCAAATCCTGCAATCCAAAAATTGGAACCCTTCCTCATGCAGTGTATAACTAAGGTACATGTACATGCTTTGTTTATTAAATGTGAAGTAAACCTGAAAATTCTGTTTCAAAAATCAGACGACACAACTGTTTATATATATATATAATTCTTAAGAAATTAGAGAAACATAATATTTTACGAACTTGCAACTCAACCTTTGTAACTCGCAACTCGAATTTCGTAACTCGCAACTCGACCTTCGTAACTCGACCTTTGTAACTCGCAACTCGACTTTCGTAACTCACAACTAGACCATCTTAACTCAACACTCGATTTTCTTAACTTGCAACTCGATGATAAGAAACCATCCATATATATGATCATATATAGGCTTGCAGGATAGAAAATTTAATAAGCTAATGCTAAACTGTTTGTATGGTTGAATACTGTTTTCCTCATCTCCCTGAAAAATATAAGTTGGAACGAATCGTCCAGATATACCATGTCCTATGCCATAGCCTATGCCTATGGGCAAATGTGCAAATGTGGATGATCTATTTTGAATTTTGATTTGCAAAAGTAAATAATGTTGTGCATGTGCTTACGTATAAACTTTAAGCAATGGCCTTTGAAATTGGTATGATGACAGAGCACTGGTGTTTATAAAATCTTATAACATCTATCAGGGGAAATCATAGCATCTATGGTTTCTTCGTCCCAAACGGTATCCGACTTATTTATTACATAGTTTAAAAACGTCAACTCGATTGAGATCACAGGTAACAGGAAGTTGTTAGTTGTCACACCGAAAAGAAAGAGAGAAAATATTCATTCTACACCCGAGTCTCACGTGCTAACAAGAACACCTGTACATTTGTTCTAAGTAGTCAACTAGACGAATACAGTATATTTCTCCGTAAAAACAGTGTCGCAGTTTTGCTGGTATATGCAAATTCATGAATCCGGGTCCGTTCGACCACAATCAAATTATTTCGTCCCCTGTTCCGGTTGGCCCATATGCACTTTTTTCTATCCATGGGGAGATACTTAAATTATATATAGATATTCGACCTTCCAATGGATAGAAACAAGTGCCTGTTGGTTCGCCCTGTTGAATATACACTTTGATTCCTGGACAATTCGATAACTTTCCTGTAAATTTTCTATGTCACCAGTGGTCACAATTATATATGTTATTATGTCACAATAAGAATTGATTATTCGATGACATCAGAGACATATAATACAAGAGATTCGCAACTCGGCGAAATCCCGTAATAACACGCGGCCACTAGTTCAACCTCGCGAGATCTCCTTAGGTAATAAAGTCATTAAGGTTCATCATAACAAATGGACAAATATGGCCGTATTTTCACCTAAAAAACTACTCTGTGTACAGACTTACCTGTGCAGTTTGGAAAATTTTAAGGCCTGGCATCCACTAGATATATAAAAGTTAAATCTATTTTGCATATCAGAAAGATAAAATCTTTTTTTGAATATGATGGGCATTTTTTTCCCTTCCTGCAGAAGGTGTAAAAATAAACAAACACCTGAATTGCATTTGATACTGTCCACTCAGTTACTACCTTTAACTCACCTATAGATGTGTAGATATCTATTGTCCATGCCAATCAAGGACAATCAATACAATACAAATCAGTTGTTACCTGAGATGGAGCATCTCAAAGTTATATCCCAACTTGGTTTATTTTTACACCTTCAGCAGGAACGGAAAAAAAATGCCCATCATAATCCAAAAAAGATTTTATATTTCTGATATGCAAAATAAATTTAACTTTTATACATCTAGTGGATGCCAGGCCTTAAAACTTTCCAAACTGCACAGGTAAGCCTGTACACAGAGTAGTTTTTTAGGTGAAAATACGGCCATATTTGTCCATTTGTTATGATGAACCTTAATAAAAGTATTAAAAGTTCTCGAAGTAAGGACGAATGTTTAAGCATAACATAAACTGTTTCAGTGTTAAATTTATCATAATTAATTAAATAATTTGAGTACATATATAATTATTTATTTTAATGTAATTTTGATTTTAGATTTGTATTATTGAAAAAGAGACATAATTTGATAATGTATTAAAAAACTGATATTAAATAATTAACACTTGATAAATTGTGTTAGAGTTCATTTTATTTGATAGTTACATAATCGGTTTCTATTGAATATACACCTGTCTCGGAGACATAATTTCACAGTGTGACATGTATATTAGGTTTGAATTATTCGATGACCAGGTAAATCACGAACATGTTATAAATAATGAGTTTTAATTGACACCTTGTAAACAAGAAGTTGTCACACCACAGGTGTCCACACTCTTTCCAAAAATACAAGTCACAAAATGTAAAATTAATTAATGTGGAAAAAAACTTAATTTATTTGTTAATTAGTTGTTAATCATGATAGGCTTTGTTTTTTATTCTTGATATTTATAAATTATAAAAAATTTATTTATTTTTATATCCATCATTTATTGGGCTTGCATTGGGTTTTTCCTGTAGGATTGCCGGTAAATGTTTGATTTCTAAGTGTTGTTTGACAGTTTCATCATAGGCTTGCATTGAGTTGTTTTTTAAATGATTGTCGGTAAATTTATGGTTTCGTCATGTTTGAAGTGTGTATTGAGAATTAATATTTAAGAAAATTACAATTAATTTCTCACTTAAATAAAGCTTCATTCATTTGCACGCAATATGGAAAATTCCGATTTTATTTCGTGGGATGACAATCTTAATAGTTACGACTTAGATATACTCCTAGTTGAATAAACTGATAACGAACTCTTTGTTGATAGTGAAAAGGACGAAAACATAAGCGAGATACCCACCAACAAAAACAATTGACAATACTGCATACATAGATGGATATGTGTGTCCTCGAAGCAACAAAAAATCTATAAAAAACACAACATTGAAGTGGGAGCCGATGTCATACATCAAAGCAACACGGAAGACACTATTTTAAAAGTATTTTATAACCTTATTTCCACGAGACAATCATTTGTAGTGGTTTTTGTCTTTTAATCATTTGTAGTGGTTTTTTGTCTCTTTATTCTGGGGCAAAGAGATGGCAGTTTAAAAGTAAGATTGTTTATGTGTATACATATACAAATCCTTGGTGTAAATAAAATATTTTATTATCATAATATATATAAGAAAAATAATATAAGATAATGACGGTTTCAATTCATCACTTTTACAAGCGCTTTCACTGCTTTCACAGATCTGTGAAAGCAGTGAAAGCGCTAGTAAAAGTGATGAATTGAAACCGTCATTATCTTATATTATTTTTCTTATATGTTACCAGCATACAGATTCTATTTGACTTTTCTTTATATATATATATTCAATTTAGACTTGTTTATATTTTTTCGTTTGGGCTTGTATTATATTTGCCTTCGGGTTTATATGATCCGTTCATCCTAATTTGACTCCTCAAAATTCGAGAGTCTATCCTAAATTGAGGTAAATTACACGGCCTTCCAAATACTGTTTAGATTCCTAACATCACTGAAGAGACATTAATTGTCGAAATCCGGATATGGTGTACAAAAATCTTTGCACCTTTGTTTGCGGTATACCATCTTTGCCGCAAGTTTATTGTTTTCTGTTTGGTATTAAATTTTTAATTAAGATCCATTTATTACACCTTGTGATCCGTTTATTTGGCAATCGCCAATGGCAGTCAGCAGGGTTTAAGAACATTTGTTATTCGACCTGTTAGTCAAATGCGTTTTGTTAAAATATACTTTTTCACTTTTTTGGTCTTTTGGAAAATGTTGTTTGTGCTGTATTTAGACCCCTCTAACAAGAAATTTGTTTTTGCATGCACACGTATAAAAATTGCGGTTTTTATCCAACGCAATCATAGGTTTAAACGTTGTTTTCAATTTAGACTTGTTTATATATATATATATATATATATCTTTTGCAGTCACCATTGAAATGTCCTCAATACGATTTTAGTTTAAAAATGAATTAGGTTCATGTTTTGAATGAGAAGCGTAGTCTGAAACGACAACAGATGCATGAAGCTCATTCATAATATTACGGCCAGCAGAAGGTTTCCTTTACTAGGAAAATTTTACTCCTTTTGTAAATTTACTCCATTCGTTCATCTTTGGCACCCTAAAAAGAAGGAAAAAAAATGACTTCAGAATAGGAGAAAATAAACAACTTTGCCATAAACAGAATGAAAAATGAATAAATTGTCTAACAAAATGCAGGCTATAAATTTCATAGTGCACAAAAATGAAGGACTGATTTAAGGAAATTTGTCCATGAACAATTTCAATATTTAGCCAGTTTAATAAAAAAAAAAATTGGGAGTAATATATATCCCCATAATATTTCTAGTTTTGACGAAACAGATTGATAAAATTAGCAAAGCTGGCTTTGTGTATGAATAACAAAATAATAGTCACCTTTGTTGATATTTTTAGAAATAACTGTTGGATCAAATTTTACGAAACTGGTCTTATTTTCACGACATAACATCTGAGAGTAATATAGCCCCATATAATTGAATATTTATTCGCACATTTCCAAGTATTACGAGATAAAATGATAGTACCAGCACAGCTGGCTTCGGGTATCAATAAGAAAAAATCACCACATTTGTTGATAATTTTGAAGAAAAAAAAACACTATTGGATCAAATTTTACGAAAAAAGTCTTATTTTCACGAAACAACATTTGGGAGTATTATTGCCCCATAAAATTATATATTTATTAGCATATTTCCAAGTTTTAAGAAAAAAGTTGGGAGATCAAATGGTTTCTACGGCAATAGGTGAAGTAAAATGGGCCGAGTTTTAACTTTGTTTGTATTTGATTAATCTCATCATTAGAACACATTTTATCAATAACAAATTATTAGAATTAGTTTTTTGTAACTTTTAAATATACTTGCATGCTTTAGCTGTGAAAGGTATCGACATTATCCATTAGAAAAATCGTGAGGCGTAGAACCTTTTTCACAACAATAGCGAGTTTTTACCCATAAATCCATCGGATTAATCGGTTTTCCGGTGGCCACGTCATTTCATTGGCTGTTATATAGACTCTACTAGAGTTGCGAATCTCTTGTATTATATGTCTCTGATGACATCATTTACACGGATTGACCTCGGGTCAACTGGTGTAACTCATTCATAAAAAACAAGTTGATATTGGTGTATAAACATGGGTATTAGGAGCTCGTATCATTAAGGATAAATCCTTGGTATCACAGGTATCATGGGTATTGGGTCCGATCGTGCCTAATACACGTTCGCACCCCACACGTTTTCCCCCTGGGTCCTTTCGCACCCTTTTTTTATTCAAAAACCTGATGAATTGTTAGATGTTTTTTAGATGTTTATATCAATATTAAAATATTTTTATTTTCATATTTTAAATTGTTTTAAATTGATTTGATGATTAGTTATTATATGTTAATTATGTATGATTACTGTTAATATGGTGTTTACACAGCTAAACTTGGTGTTATTGTTATGTGTTTGAAAATCGTGATTGTTGTTTTTACTAGCTTTGATTTGAATTTTGCATGTAGTTAGCATGTTTTAGCTTGGTACATGTATGAGTAAAAACAATGAAGATTCAAAATGTTATTGTTGTTGAGTTTGATAGCAGTTTGGTATCTTAACATTAAAAAAATATTCAACATAAAAAAACCTTTTTAGAAAGTCACTTTATTTTGAAATAATGAAAACAAAAATTTATAGCAATACACTAACCAAAACACAATTAAACAAATATTCAACACAAAAAACGTCACTTTATTTTGAAACAATGAAAAAATAACTTATTTATAGCAATACAAAAACCAAAACACGATTAAAAAATTATTCAACACAAAAATCGTTTTTAGAAAGTCACTTCATTTTGAAACAATGAACTAAAAAATATTTATAGAAATACACTACAATGTAACCAAAAAACAATTGAAAAATTATTTAACACAAAACCAATAAAAAGGGTGCGAACGTGTAGGGAACGAACGTGAAAGGGGGCGAACGTGCATGGGGGCGAACAGACACCGATTTGGTATCATGTGCATGGGGAACAGACACGGATTTGGTATCATAGATGCTTTTGGGTCTGAAATATGTGCCATGTATGCGTTCTACCTTTATTTTTTTGCGTATTTGTCTAATATCTTAATAACAAAAATAGATCGATGGAAACTTATATAAACAAAATTGATCAGCAAGACAAGATCTACAAATAAGTCAAGATGATAGAAATTGTTCAGCAACCCCTTATTGGAGTTATTGCTCTTTAATATCTATATTTGAGAATTTACATTTATGACACAGATACATTAAATCTTTCCAGATATTGTAATCAACTAGTTTCCTCCATTTTAAATCTGTTCAATAACTTCTAGATCTGACAACAACAAAATTTTGTTTTCCCAGCGTTTATATAGGGAATTCATAACTGTATCAACAAGAGGTCTTTGTGTTGTCCAGTTTTGATAAGGTGAACAATTGTAGACTTTTACATATAAACGACAACTCATATACTGATATCTATTACAGGTATAAATGAGTGCAAATCAAGAGAAAAATGTACTTCAACGCACCTTCAGTATGGATGAAGCCCGTGATTCTATCAAAGCAGTTGGTTCTGCTGTATTCTATGGCACTTGTTCTGTTTCCATGGCATTTATCAACAAAGCTTTGATGACAACTTACAAGTTTGACTTTCCTGTTTTCATCATGGTTGTGCAAATGGTTTTTACCATTTTTATATTAGAATTATTGAGCTGTTTACAACTTATTCAACTGCCGAAATACACTCTAAGTCGAGGAAAAACATTTGCATTACCAGCATTGTTTTATGCACTAAATTCTGTACTTGGTTTAACTGCTTTGAGTCATATGAATGTAGCGATGTATGGTGTACTTAAGAGATGTGTTCCTCTGGTTACCATGTTTTTGTCAGTTGTAATACTCAAACAGGGATTTCCATCTAAGAAGACTATTGCCAGTGTTATGTGTCTTACTACTGGATGTATTGTAGCAGGTAAATTATTATTATTATTGTAACCCTTGTTTCACATCTTACTACTGGATGTATTGTAGCAGGTAAATTATTATTATTGTAACCCTTGTTTCACATCTTACTACTGGATGTATTGTAGCAGGTAAATTATTATTATTGTAACCCTTGTTTCACATCTTACTACTGGATGTATTGTAGCAGGTAAATTATTATTATTGTAACCCTTGTTTCACATCTTACTACTGGATGTATTGTAGCAGGTAAATTATTATTATTGTAACCCTTGTTTCACATATGTAAATTACTAAGCTTAATCATATGATAACCAGGATATGTACAAAAAGAATTATCACCTGGTTCAAACACCAAAGTTTTGCTATTAATGCTTTAGTTTTGAAATAGTCTGTTTAACCATGTTACACATGTTTTACTCACAAAAGTCATGTGATAGCTTAGAAATCTATGTCATGTTTGGATCAATACAACATCGTCAGTATGTAATTTGTGATTATTATTTTTCAGGATATGGCGATTTGCAATTCAATTTAGCAGCTTATACTTGTGGAGGTCTAAGTAACCTGACCCAGTCATTGTATCTTCTCCTTGTCCAGAGATATATAGCAAAGGACATAACTACAGTCGAAACATTACAACTCAACAGTTTTAATACTCTACCATTCCTCCTGTTATATTCAATAATTAATAAGGAAATATTTGAAGCAGTACATTACGAAAGATTAGGAAATCCTTTATTTATTTTTGTTTTCTTTGCTGCAGTCTCTATGGGATGTTTGTTGAACTATTCATTATTTCTATGTACTAGCATGACATCAGCTCTGACAACAAGTGTTGTTGGTGGTATCAAGGCAATGTTACAGACATTGTTTGGTTTGTTTACATTTGGTGGCATCAGTCACAACATGGCCACATATGTAGGTATTGGTATGAACCTTAGTGGTGGCTTGTATTATATTTTTGCAAAATTCACAGAAGGAAAATCAAAACACAGATCTGAAGAAAGTTTGAAGAAAGTTATAAGTATATCTACAGCAGAAGATTTCAAGAAGTACTCCAATGGATCACTGAAAACTTCTGCAAGTACCACTAAATTGAAACCTATACCAGAACAGTCTGATAGTCATCAAAATGTGTAATTAAGTTCAAACCTAAATTGATATTTAAGATCATGAAATAACTGTTTATGTACAAAAATGTAATGTTAGTATCATACTGAAAAATATTTTTTCTACAAAATTGTTAATGAAATCCTTTTTCCCCTACAAATCGGGCAAAATTTATGAAATCCAGATAAAATTTATTTGACATCGCAAATCTGTATATGGGATTTAGCAAAGATCTACATTTTTTAACATACTTTTGAATCTCTTTATTATTTTGTGTATGTGATTTAAACATCACCTTTTTATTTGATTTATGTTTCTTTTTTATAATAATTCTTTGCACATGTACATGTACTTTGTTTTGCTTGGTAATCAATAACTTCATTGTACATGAACTTTGTTTTGCTTGGTAATCAATAACTTCATTGTACATGTACTTTGTTTTTTTTATAATCAATAACTTCATTGTACATGTACTTTGTTTTGCTTGGTAATCATTAACTTCATTGTACATGTACTTTGTTTTGCTTGGTAATCAATAACTTCATTGTACATGTACTTTGTTTTTTTTATAATCAATAACTTCATTGTACATGTACTTTGTTTTGCTTGGTAATCAATAACTTCATTGTACATGTACTTTGTTTTGCTTGGTAATCAATAACTTCATTGTACATGTACTTTGTTTTGCTTGGTAATCAATAACTTCATTGTATATGTACTTTGGTTTTTTTTATAATCAATAACTTCATTGTACATGTAATTTTATTTTGTTTGATAATCAATAACTTAATTGCATATGTACTTTGTTTTGTTTGATTATCAATAACTTCATTGTATATGTACTTTTACTTTGTTTAATAATTAATAACTACATTCTAAATGTACTTTGTTTAATTTGATAATCAACCATACGTTTTGTTTTATTTATTTTCTTGCTATGTGGTATGGGTTTTTCTCATTGTTGAAGGCCATACATTGACCTATAGTTGCTTACTTCTACATCATTTGGTTTCTGATGGTGAGTTGTCTCATTGGCAATCATACCACATCTTCTTATTTTTATTTATATATATTAGTGATGATGATCTTTTAATGGGATACAATATTATTGGTATGAAAATTATCTTTACTTTACAAGATACTATTCATATACATATGAGACATTGATGCAATAATATTTACACTATTTTTTGTGCAGTTTTGTTTATATTTATGTTGAATGCATCTGTCTTAATTTGTTATTGCTGAGAGTTTTCATAATGTGAAATTTATTTTAGGTACATGTAGATAAAATATAAACCATATATACGTATTATGGTATACCGTTGTCCGTCCGTCCGTCATCAACATGTTGGACAATAACTCAGAAAAGCTTCAACCAATTTGCATGAAACTTTGGTGAATTGTTAATATCTATTGACCTGAGCTCTCTTTTGATTTTTATAATTTTTAGATTTAAGGTTTCCGAGTAAATAACTCAAAAGTGCTTTGAGCAGTTTTCATGAAACTTTGGTGACTGTTTTGTACATGTACATGTATCTATTAAAATCACCTCCTTTTAGTTTTTTATAAATTACTGATATGACATTGAGGAGTTACATGTATGGAACTTTATTCTTTGAAAAAGCGACGGGGTGTATCATGCACTCATGAGGCAGCTCTTTATTATTAAAAGTATCAAAAGTAGTTTTTAGCTAAAGGGTGACAGGAGTGAATAGTGATTTATGGTTAAATGGACTTCTCCCATTCATCGGTAACACCCATACTGCAGAGAACCCTGTTTGGCTTTGTAACATGTATAAATAATTAGTTATGTGCTGTTGAAATGGGGACATTAAATAATTATACTTTTTTTCTGTAAGCAAATACTGCTTACTGGATTTGCACAATATAAATATTTAATCGACCATATACAGCATAATACATGTAATATATATAAATTTATACAAATAATGAATGAATGAAACCAATGCCTTGTGTTGAGAGAGTGTCTCTCTTTATGCACATCAAAGATACTTGAAACTTTATTAAGGTAGCCTGTTGAAAGGCAAAATTTCATAGAGATCATACTTATTTGATGTATTGTTGAATTTGTTCCGTTTCTGTACATATTTGAAATATTTGCAACTGGAAGGTAAGAAAATAAAAATCGATCAATCAATAATATTATCAGTAAAATCTATTGTGAAATAATGACCTTCTTGTATTCCTTATACAATGGAATTAATTTTGAGGAATTAATTTTGAAAAAGGTATTTTGCAATTTATGTCTTGATTATTTCACAGATGATTTGTTGAAAAAAATTGTGCTTTGCCATCACTTTGCAACTGTTAAATTTACCAAAACAATTCTCCTGACACTAACAGGCCAATTGATTTTATAAAGTGTTGTTGAAATTGGGATATAAATTGCCATTCCACTGCTGTTTTCACAGAACACACAAGTTAAGGTTTCTTTACGGATGTGCATGTCCTATTGATATTTTTAATCTTACTAATTTCATTTGTTTTGTACAAATAAATTTTCAGTTTTATTGCAATAAAATGTGCCATTCAATCAATAAGTTTGGCAGGCAAAACATTTATCCTGTTGAAGACTCATATCTAAGAATTTTTCTGAGAAGTTGATTATATTATTAGAGAGTAATGTCATGTTAGAACTTAATGCTTATTTTTGATGAATAATAAATTTGTCATTTCAGAATTTTAGGGGAGAATAAAATGGTCTCACGCTATTTATTTCTTCATGAATTAGCATTGTGTTATTTATACTATTGAAGAGATGTTTGATTTATTGTGATTGTTATCTGGTATTGTGATAAATTATTATATTTTTAACATTTTATATAGTATATTTGATTGGTTTAACAAATAAAAGAGGGTTTTATTTTTAAGGCATTTTACTTTTTTAAAACATTTAAGATTCAGACTCTTTAATATTATCAGTGATCATCATGATGAAGGATGTTGAGAGATATAACAATATTATGTTCATACAACTGTTAACACAAAAACTAAACACATCACATAATCATTGTTGTCTTCTACCTTATTTTTTTCCCCAAAATCTTCTCTGAAAACACTGGACCAAATTCTACCAACCTTAGACTGAAGGATCCTGCTTATTAGACCCCTACAGACGAAGGTAAAATCTTCTCTGAAAATACTGGACCAAATTCTACCAATCTTAGACTGAAGGATCCTGCTTATTAGACCCCTACAGACGAAGGTAAAATCTTCTCTGAAAACACTGGACCAAATTCTACCAATCTTAGACTGAAGGATCCTGCTTATGATATCTTGTATAAAGTTTGTATGAATAAAAAGAAATGTAGGTATATGTCAATGAGGCAGCAACCGAATAACAAAAAATAACAAAAGTAACCAAAAGACATCAAGAGGGTTCAGCTTTTATTAATCAACTGATCTTGAATTTCAAACTAAATTCACTACGTTCACTAATAAGCACTTTTAGACTTAACTTTGTGTTCATTTGATTTCATTTAATGACATTTATTAGTTCCAACAGTTTTTCACACAATCCTGTCCTCAAGATTGTGATATCGCCGAATGAGACTTATCAAGGATTTGTACTTGCTTGAGCAACATGACAGGTGCCACATGGAGCAGGAACTGCTTGTTACCTTCCAGAGCACCTGAATGCCCCTGGTTTTTGGTCATGTTCAGGTTGTTTACACCTAAGTTTTCCATGTAGTGTATTGTGGATTTATTTGTCTTTTCATTGGTTTTGTTTTATGCCATGACGTCAGTTTTTCTTCGACTTATGAGTTTTAAATGTCACCTGGCATCTTCTGCCTCTTTTTTATCTTCAGATGAGGAGGCCAGATGTAGGCATGTCTTCATCATAACCAATGGCATATATAATATAATATAATTTCACCACAAATCAGTCTCAAGGGTGGTCACTATTGACCTAGATTTTATGATGTCTCAGATTTCAGGTAGGTTAGAGTTGAAGAAAATGTAATACCATTTGTCCGGAATGCAACCCTAGACATAGAATACATTAAAGCGTGACAAAGCATGATAATAGATAGATCAGCTTGATTTCACCAAGTGATTATTCTTTTGAATATCTGCGGTGTTTTCCCCCCAGATATGCAAAAGAATGATCACACATTTCCATATTTCAGTGGACAACAAAATCAAGATCAAAATCCTAATTTGGCATAAAAAAAGTTCACATTATGATGAACAGGTCTACTTAGTTACATATTGATGTGACCACAACTTCATACCTTAAACTAAGACTGATACAGGATGGACAGAGGAACAGATTAATGGGTGGATGGAGGAAAAGACTGGAAATCATCAATTTTTTTTAGTGAAAAAGGTAATCAAGATGCATTTTTTTTTAAATTGATGTCAGAATAATTAAAGCTCAGAATACATTGTCAAAGTCATTGATCACTTAAAAAATGTAAATTAGTGTCTGGAAAAGCTACCCGGCTAGGAACCATGTCCATTAGATACAGAATATGCTTGATTAACTTAGATAAGATTCTTTTTATAAACTATCACAAGTCAATAATATTTGGAAAATGGATTCATTTTCAGGTATATATGTCAGTCTAACTGGTGTCATGTAGCCTTGATGTAATTTTCATGAGGTAAAATGTATTAATTAGCATAGTTTGTTGATTCATTTATTTGTATGTAAACTTTTTCATAAATCTCTTAAACCACAGGGCTAGTGAAACCAAACTTGCAACAATTTGCATTTGATTGTTTAGTTTCAAAGTTTAGTCTGATAGTTCAACTTACATGGCTGACACTAAAAGTAGAACATGTTGGTACAGCAGGTAAAATGATAGATTTTAATAGCTTTCTTTGTAAAGATCCCTCAATTTTGGTATACAGTTGTGCAATAAGAAAACAAAAAATACATGTTTTGTTCCAGTTTATCTACTGTTGACCTTATTACAGCTCCTGAAAATGAATATACACTATCAATTTTGTGCATCTGAAGTGCTTTTCTGGATTTACCTACATCAGGAATGCTTAAACCCAAACTGTTCAAAGCCAAGGATGTATAAAACCTAAACCAGTGAAGAGCTATATGACCAAAAAGGACCTAAAAAACAAAAATAGCTATTTTAACCTAGAAGAAAATATTGATGTCAGAGTAATCTTTGACTAATGGTATGTAATGATAAATTGTTTTATTACATTGGTTGCAATGAATTACATTGATTTCCCAGTGAAAGAAAAACTGATAATTTCACATGTGAAATAAATGTGGTTATTTGAATTCTTCGATTAGTTATTCTATAAAGATTGACATATAGCAACATTTATATCACAGCTCTTTAAAGGAATTAGCATACAAATAATGACAAATATGTATTATCAAATATTTTTATTTCAGCAATTTAAAAAAAAAAAGCAAATGACTAGACTTGAGCTACATAAAAATAAATAGTCTTAAAAATATCTTACTTTTCATAATAATACTCTTTAAAAATAAAAATTCATTCCCCTCTCCCTGAAAATTATCAAGAAGTAAATTCTAATTCAGTAAAAAGTGAATTAATGTCAATATCAACTTAGTGTATGTACATTTTATGATCCATTTTATTCTAATCTTGTAATTACTTCCCCTACAATAAGTCTGGAAAATTTTCTGGATGTTCTTTTACCCTTTTTTTATTTTATTTTAATATCCAAAAGGTCGGGTAGCAATACACAGTTAGGAAAAAACTTAAAATTGACACTCATGATTTTTTACGACCCTCTTTCCCTTGCTTTTTTAACAAATTAGGCTTACTGAAAATGTCACAAATGCCCCCATATTCCCCCAAATTTGGTCCAAATTAGAATTTCCATACATTTGAGTGATACCTTTTCTGAATCTATTGACATTTATCTATCAAGAGATCAAATAAAAAGCATATGCATTTCACCTTATTTTTCCATATAATTGAATTGAAAAGTTCTAGCGTAAAAAATTTATTTGATGGAAAATATTGCAATTGGCCGGTATGGATGTGAAAATACGGACTGTTAAACAGAAAATGCCCTACTGTAAATTCAGAAATTTATTATTGCGACTTTGTCATTTTAGACTAAAATGCGCATTTAATTTTTGCGATATTGAGAAAAATCCTGTTTAATTCATATAAAAAATTTCAAAATGCAAGTTTAAATTATTGCGATTATAACCCTGTCGCATTTTTTGCAATAATAAAAACATCACAATAATTTCTGAATTTACAGTATAAAACATGCAAAAACAATCTTTATGCTCATATAAACCCTCTTTGAAGACTATATTAATCTTCAGCTATCTAAAAATTAATTTTATTGCACCATAACTTTCATATTTGAAAAAATTCACAAGGGTCAAAATGTGAAACCAAATTCCTAAGTGTGTATTGCTACCTTATCCAGTTTTGTTTTTAAACAGAGGTAAAATCAGCAAAAAAGAGAAAAATATTCCTTCATTTTTAATACATAATCTATCATCTAGTTTATCATGACATTTAAGACACATATACATTAAAACAATTCTAAATATAAAATCGTGAGGTATTTCTTTACAAATGATATGTCAACATGTTTAAAAATGATGATATGATTACAATAGATGTTAAACTTTGGTTATTTCTGCCAGTTCATCAGTGTTTTGTACATCTTCTTCACCATATTCTTTGTCCTTTACAGTCCTTTTCAGTAACCTTGGTCCTGAGATGGCAATTGCTATTGCACCAATTGGTGCTGTTATGATAATAGATAAGACAGCCATTGTAAGAATGATCCCTCCATATGCTTCTAATGTCGGATCACCTTTCCTCCTGGCAGCATCTAGTGCTACACCTCCAATAGCAGCCTGAAATCACAAGGTCAACATCATTCATCAAAAATATCAAAATAAAATTCTCATCGATATAATGTTTTGGACTATCCTGCTCAAAAGAATCAATAAATTTTACTGATTGGTATTTCAATTAAAATAATCTCTAAATTCATTATAATAGCAACCTGTTTCCACAGAATGCAGACTGACAAAATAGTAAAACAATTTATAATAAACAAATATATATAAATTTAACAAGCATTCTGTGAGTATTGCATGGCAATACATAGTCCCCTACCGGTTAAAAATTCATTGTAATGGAGCAAACCTACCACTAAATTCTTCAAACAATTTACTAAAGAAAAGGAAAAAAATCCAAAATGTCATTTATCTTAATACAATGTCTTTTACAAATCTTAAAAAAAAAGAAGAGTTATTTCCCTTTGAACAGAAATCGATTAATTAATAAGTATTTCATCAAAAATTTAATTCAAGGGAAAGTTAAAAAATGAGTTAATTCCCTTTGAACAGAAATCTAGTAATTAATAAGTATTTCATCAAAAATTTAATTCTAGGGAAAGGGCTTTAACTGAACAAGGAGAAAAGCTAAAATCGTGAAAATCGAACTTGACCTGTAACTTGTCATGATAAAACAATACACCAAATATCAAATCAATATCTGTAAGCATGAAGAAAAAAAGTCTGGAAAACTGATTTGCCGGACTGACGGACGGACAGATGGACGGACGGACAGAGTGCAAACCGAAATTCCCCTTCGACTTCGTCGGTAGGGGACTAAAAAGACCTGCTTTGAAGAAAATAGCAAATAGCAATTTGATGGAATTCATTAAGTAATTATAAAATTTAATATATAACTTCATTTTGCATGGAGAATGAATTTATAGATTTAAAAGAAACTTTACAATGTTATTGCATCCTATTCCCAAATATCAATGACCTGTTGTAAGTTCACCTAAGAGGAGGATGGCATTATTTCGTATCAATTGGTTAAGTATTTTCAGTTTTCTGTGGACAATCTCTGATACAGTTACAATTTTTTAAATAACATTTTGTTTATACTAGTGTTTTTGTTATCTGACGATAAATTTATTACAGAGTTGAATGCTTTACCCATAATGACTTTTACCAGAGAGTTTAGGAAGAATTAGTATTTTCTGTGACAAAAGTATTTGAAATAATTTCCAAACTTAACTACATTGGTAATGCACTATGTGAATATATCTTTACCTGAACTGTAGCTTTTGGGAACCATGCAAATGTAATAAATAACATTTCTTTGAAGTTTAGACCAGATCTAAATACAGCAAGGAATGATACAGCCAGTCTAATTACCATACCAATGGAAAGAGTTGCAAGTCCCAGACCTGTAGAAAATTAAGCAAATTTAAAATATTGTTGGAAAACAATAATTATATACTGTGGATTCATTTATTTTCGTGGGTACCAATTTTCGTGAATTGAAGAAAACTTGCATTTTCGTGGATATTTAATTTCGTGGTTTCGGCAAAGTCTGCATATATTCCTTTAGGAAATTCGTAATTCGTTGAACATTTAAATTCGTGGTTCCCCTGTACCCACGAAATCCACGAAAATTGGTATCCAACGAATATTAATGAATCCACAGTAATTAATTGTGTTATAAACACTTAATTCAGGCTGTAAATGTTTCTTGACATTTATACAGGTTTCCCATAAAAAAGTTTTAAGCTGATCTAGGAATACTTAAATCATGCACTTATTTTAAAGTTCAATTATCTATTTTACTGAACCAAGATAGCATTTTACATACATTTAACATTGAATTCTGAAAATTTGAGATAGTTTAAAAAATATATTTCTTTAAAGCCAATTTGGCCCCAAATCTTCTTCTTAGTTTTATATGAAGGATTACTATTCTTTTTCGTTATAAAAATATATTTTTAAAGCAATTGTTTTTTCCTTTATATGTCTATCATTAACCATTTGTCAGTTATTTGTTTTTCACTTACCTACTGTCTCTCCATCTATTTTTGATATTTGTACTTCAGCACCAATTAGTCCAAATAACATGGGCTGGAACAACATCCACAAAATGGCAACAATGTCTTTGATAGGGTCCTGCAACATAGAAAAAATGATTGCCTAATCATACTACCCGAAGCAAACTTAATGTCATACTTTCAGTATGCTAACCCTTGAAAAATAAATAAAATCAAAGTGCTTGTGAGCACTGAAGGGTAATGATAAAATTTCACTTTGCAGTGGGAATTGCATAAAATTTGTATTAGCATTGAAGGAAATACTAAGAAAATACAGTTATGGACAAAGGAAGATAACTCCAAATTTAAATAGTACTTAAACAATGTCATTAGTATTTTTAGAACAGATACTAGATTTATGCACCATGCACAATTTATGTAATTTTCTTGAAAAGTCCAGTTATATACTTACACATTATTTTGTAATTTGCATATCGGAGTATATTTTTCAATGATATAATTTTATATTTCTTGAATGTTCATTGATAGGATGTATTGTGCTTAATGCACTATGTTTCAAGTAGTGATAAAGTCTGGATGATAGCCTCCTGTTTGTTAATGATTTAACCTCAATTAGGCCTTTTTCACCTACAATTTTTTTCTGGCCCTAATTTTATAAAGTATTGAACTACATATAAGGAAAGATACAAAAAATTGTTTCAAAGTAAAATTAGTTCAACTGTATTGAACTTTAGTATACACATACAAATCTGTGAAATTTTTATACATCATTTGCTTTAATAATTTTGGTTTTGAACTTGACTTGTTGCACTTATCCTTTACCCCCAAAAATAACATGCAGATGATCCAACTATCATTGTATGATTGTAATAAAGAGTGCACAGAAGAAAGCTTAAATCTAATTTAAAGCTGAATATTTTAGCTTCAATGTTATGTTGCAAGATAAAAACAACAGGACCAACACTGTTGAAAAATATACAGTTTATTTGCACTCACTATAAAACAGCAGAAAAGCTCAACAAGACTAGCTTTCTTCAGTTTTCTAAAGCTCGTATAAATAGATTCTATATTTTAAGTATTACCAATGTTACTTCTCTAAAGGAGAAGGTATGATAAGAGTCATTATTTGGCAACTGAAACCACAAAAATAGTAAACTTTTTAAAACCTTTCATTATTATGTTAATTTTATTGATAAATGAACCTGTTGCTTTAATCTGGAGACCTTAATTAAGAGTGGTCACTTGTTGTGTCACTATGACATCATAAACATGTCGAAATCAAAGTATTTGTTTGAAAATAGCCAAAAAGATATTTTACACACATCATAACATCTTTGTAAAATACATTTTGTAGCAAAATATCTTTTTAGGTAAAGCTCTAGCTCATATCTAAATAATAATGACAAGATCTAAAAAAAATGTTTGAAGCCTTTAAATGCCAATATATAAGATATATTGAAAAATGTAAATGCATTGTACTGGTGTCTTGACAACATTTGAAGGATTCTATTTGGTAGATTAATAATACTTTTTGATTTTCAAATTCAGGTGACCAAAAAAGTGGCCTTATCATCATGATCATACCTTCTGCTTTCTTCATTTTAATAAGTAATGCTTGATTTTAAATATAGAAAATATAACTTAAGATGATAACAATTGTACAACCATCTTAAACTAGAACGTATATACATGCATGTACCTCAAGATTCAATACACAGTATTTAATTTGTCTATAACAAACCTGATCATCTTTTTTTTCTTTCCTCCATCTGAAAGCAGCAACAAATGCAATAGTAAGAACACCTAGAGGTCCTGCTCCAGAGAGTTCTATTGCAGCACTACCAAAGGTTGCCATTAATCCAGCCCCTAGTAATGTCATCCCTCTGTAGAAAATGAAATTATCCTGCAAAATATTTTAATACAACGTTGTGAATATTGATGAATATGCTACAAGGGACATAACTAACAAATACGATATCAAAAACTAGTTTAATCTTTATTTATATTTTCAATTTTATTCAAAACCAAGATTGAAATGGATACAAGAAAATGACTATCTGAGACAAACATAAACAATGTCAACCTGCTTCAGAAAAATAAACTCATGATACTGATTTCATTCCATGTCACCTTTCAGGAATTATTTTCATCAAACATGTCAGAGACCAAAAAGTTGGGGTGCAAAGATACATGAAACATATTGGAGCATCCAAATTAAAAAAAAAACAGTAACAGAATTGCAAAAGACACTATCTTCTGTCAATTCTGCAGCCTTAGTTTTAGTACATTTTCATAATATATACTAATAAAATGAAAAATTACAATGTAGCATTAGAAATCATGAAAGTACCAAAGCAATAGCAACTGAACAGATAACACAGCTGTACTGATACTGTCAAAGGGAATGAAATGATAACAACATGTTATGGCTTTTTATTATTCTGAAGTTATAACATATATAAACAATTGACCGAATGTATTATACACAAAATATGTTTTCTTCCTGGAACTCACTAGCATGTCAATTTTCTGTTACATATTAGTACAAATTTTGTTTGAAGTAGAACAGTGAATCTAAAAAGCCCTCTCACAAATTTCCACCTAAATGACTACAATAAAGCTACACCCAACTAATTGATTTTCACTTTTGAATAGTTTCACATTTAGTCAATCATGCTGGGACCTTTTATAGCTACCATATGGTATGGGTTTTGCTCATTGTTGAAGGTTTTACAAATCCCTAAAGTTGTTTAAATCCTTGTTCCTTGGTCTTTGATCGATAGTTGTCTCATTGGCAATCATACCACATTTCCTTATTTTTATATCAATGGCAAATTGTTTCTATAACAGTAATCCAATGAAAGTCTTTCCTTTATGGCTGCCAATTTTCATACATTGCATTAATGTCATATACGTCTGTGTATACTTTAATTCCTTAGCTGAAACTTGTATAGAGGCATGAAGTTTGTGTTTGAATAGGATAGAAATTTTATTTCTCTTCAAATAATTTATGAATAATTATACATTGATTGTAATACAAACCCCTTTAGCTGGAATGTACCAGAGGAGTATACCACCAATGACTCCATATGCCACACCTAGCAGTGCTTCTGCTGGTCCTTTTATTATAGACACAGCCAAATCACCTATAAAAACAAAAACAACAAGAAAGTTAATCAATGGATAAAAAAAAAGTTTATAAAAAGCAAAAAAATGATCTTTCCATTTCTCTCTCTTTCTCATTTTTGATATACAGTGTGTATTTGTTTTCTCTGGAGTATTGATTGATTGGTTGATCATTTTTGTTAATCGCTACTTTCAGCACTATTGGCTATATTGTAGTGACCCATTTGATTGGTGAAGTCAGCCAGAGTTTTGGAGCATGGAAAGCAACTAAACTGCATTGTTTCTTCAATTACATGAATTTACACACTAACTGTGCAACATATGAATTATTTAAAGAGAAATAAAGTGAATGATAAAGCTGCTATGTTAAAATAAACATTTTATTCACCAATGCAGTTAATCACTAATACATGTATTTAGGGAACTATATTATTACATGTCTAGATGTTAGAGGAAATATAAATTAATGTATGTAATAACAATGATAATTGTAATGATTTTATGGTTCTGGTCCTGCCTGGAATTAAATGTATGTGATTTATATAGAATGGAGATAATAACATGTCTGAACTTTTTAATGTTTCATTTCAATGTATAAAAAAAAAAGTTTTTCTGTTACATATCATGATGTATTGTTTTATGTGTACATGTCATGCTGCCCATCAAGGGCCCTCGATTGGAATAATAAATATTCTTATTCTTATTCTTATTCTGTATTATATCATTTTAGTGACCGTAATTGACTAATCAAAGTTTCCACTTGTACATACAGTTCAAGCAAAAGGAGACCAGATATTGTGGCTCATAAACATTATATATGAGTTGTAATTAAACTATATGATACTTCTGTAAGAAAAGAAGCAACCTTGATAAGCACCAAAAAAACAGCCCCCACTTCTCATTTTACTTATTTCAAGGTTTATGATTAATGACAATATTAAAAGACAGTACAGTACTAATTACTGAATTGTGGTTTGTAAGCCGATTTGTTATACAATCCACTTCACATTGAAAGGGTTAATTTAAGGATTACTGCATTAAATTTTTCACAATGCAGAATAATTAGTGATCCAAACAAAATCAATATAAAGCTGTCAAATATTATTTAGAATTGCAGATTAAAGCATATACAATCATCCAATTACATTTACTTAGTCTTAAGAAAGTTAATCATTATTATAAAATCTTAAGGTTGAATATAACATAACAATAATATAGTCTTACAAAATGCCTTAATAAACTTTAATAAAAATGATAACTATTCTTTTGAATCAGAACATATGGTTATAAGTATGTACGGTTCATACAAAATATCAAAGCTAAAAATTCTTCTAATATTATGGATTTATTAATCATAAATTTGATGTGGCATTGTAAATTGATAGTATGCTCACCACACTAACATTAATATTTACTATTGAGGCCATGATTATATCATACTTTATGACACAGCTAAAAAGAGCTTTTAGTTTTTTGCTTATTTACCATTAATTTTACATTAAATGATTAATGTTCAGGGACGAATAATTACATTGATTTTTCTCAGCAGGAGAGATTTAAAGGAATGGATTGTTTTACTGTTTCTCACCAATCTGAAAAGCAAACAATTTTATAGTAGAGCTCGTACAAGATAAATATTAATCTTCAGTAATTTCAGACATTAAAGAAAATTATGAAGAATATGGCTTTAAAAATTACAAACAATAAATGTATTAAAATTATTAATTTTTGTGAATTTGGGGGCTAAGGTGAACCATGACTATAATACAAAGGTGTTCATAGACCAAAAATGTCATACAGACTTATATGCCTACAGACATGCGGATTGGACTATGCACATTCAAAAAGTCTTCTATTCCCGACCATTTCTTTTTTTTTATTCAAATTAAAATTGAGCCTAATTAGTCATTAATGGTCCCTTTAAATTTAATCATATTGTTGGGAATGAAGGGGATCCAAAGGTCCTTATCTAAGAGATTCAACCACTTTAATTCCAGAAAAATGTTTATAAAATAACATATTCAAGTATTAATGTTGCAAAAAATATAAAAAGACTGACTGAACAACACATTATAAATTCATGTTGTTCAGTCATAAGTTGAATATTTTTCATTTTTAATTCTTGGATTATTTATTCTCTTTATTAAATATTTGACCATGGACTTTTAAAAGGAAATAAAGTAGAAAATACAAGGAACAACACCTTTTTTTCTGCGCATTCTCAATTTATTTTGATATGTCATCGACAATGTCTTGATTGACAACACCCATTGCTGTATTATGTGAACATCAGAGGAGTAAAATAAACAGATTTATTTCACAGGGAAATCACTGTATTTCATTGCAACCAATGTAATAATCAGGAATATTATATATTTTAAACATGGGATTTCAGACATTTCCCTTGTCGAAAAAAATAATAAGTCATCCATTTTGGAAACATTGGCAGTTTTTTGTTGATCAGAAGTAAAATGCATGTTTTTCTGTTACAAATACTTAAATTTTTTTTTGCTGTACAGCTTCAAATTTCCATGTTTCCACTATGATTAAAAAGATATGAAGGGTATAATCAATGAGACAGCAAACAAACAAACAAAAAACAGCAAACACACAACAAAAAATTTCAAGTACAGGTAATCAGAATGTACTAGAGTTAGATACCCCCAATCTGCAGACAGGACCCACTCCACCTTGTTTTACTAGAGCTACTCAAATGACAATTACAATATAGAATATTTTTGTTTATGTCAAAACTACACTGACATATATACATATATATGTATGTCTTTAAAGAAGTAACTGCCTCGGTGGTCCCGTGGTAGCGTGTTAGCCTCGAGTGCGGGAGGTTGTGGGTTCGAACCCGGCCTGGTCAAACCAAAGACTTTAAAAACTGGTATTTGCTGCTTCTCCCCATAAAGGAGTAAGAGCAAAGACTGGTCAGCTCGGAGTCAGAATACTGTGTCCGGGTAAGGTGACATGTCTTTCTGCGGACTGTTACCTTGTGAACTAGCACAGAAAAATCAGGCTCAGCGTGTCAGTCTAGCACAAAGCAGAGTAAATATTCATATTACATTAACATGTTCTTGTCCTGAATATGCATATTAATTTGCTGCTGGACGTTAAGCAGCCATCCATCATCATCATCTTTAAAGAAGTTTATATCTTCCATTATTTTGTTGTAATCATGATCTGCATATTTCTCTTATGTAAAAAAGAACTTCACAAATTCTTATTTTTTAAACAAATTACGGATCATTAATTTTATAACTGACTTGTATAAATAATGGTTCTATGTGTGTGACTTATTTCTTTGTAGATAAAATAATTCTGTGTTGACAAATGAGTATTAATTGCCAACTATCTTGTAAGAATATTCAAATAATTAGTGAAAATTCACCCCCTGGGTTTAAACATCTTATTTCAATTTATTGCTTGAGGTGGGTCTTTTGGGAACTCATGCAATAGTGTATTTAAAATTTCATTAAATTCTCTTATGAATATAAGTGGTGTATTGATTTGAAATAAAAATCATTGATTTCAAAAAGTGGTGCACAGTAAATATCAAAAGGAATGCATAAGGTCTCTTTTAAAAATCAATCCAAGTCTTATCATAATGAATATTTTCTAGGCTACTATCTAAACTTCTATCAAATTCATAACAAGATATATGCAAATCTTAGTTTTATGTTCTTTGTATTTCAATTCTACTGACAGCCTTCGCCTAAAAGGTTTGCTATTGTTCCATAGCTGTGACTTTATTGTCAGTACTAAATATAAACATGTCTACAGTCATTCCACAGACGCTCAATGACAATTATTGCCTAATACAAAAAAGTGTCTTCAAATAATTTGATAGTGACCTGTGATGACAATTTCAATGGCGTTGTCAGTTTGTTTTCTACTAATGAGTTTGAAAGTCCCTTTGGTATCTTTCGCCTCTCTTTAATTGTAATTATATAAGTGTGGTGTCTGGTTAGGAAATCTGTTCTTTTAATGTTATGCAATTGAAATGATTGGACTTAACAAAACGAATGAAATTACCATCCTTGAGGGAACTGATAAAAGATAATAAAAGGAATAAAAGAACAGAGTTCCAATGTCCCCTGCGTTGCACATATTTTATCTGTTTTGACCAAGGGCAATAACTAAAAATATTTTTATTCTTTTAAATTTTTTTAAATTATCTTACTAGAGAGTTGGACTTGAGAGCAATTTTCGATATATTTAATCAGCACTTATTTTTGAAATGTCTTAGACATTGCTGTTATATACCTTTGATATGAATTTGATAAAAATCTGGCAGAAATTGTACATGTGAAAGCACTTACATGAAAATTTATATATAATTCATATTTTAAGGGCATAACTCTTTTAAAAATAGTGGACCGGCACTGATTTTCTAACTCATCTGAGACATTGCTGATATAAACAAACAATATAAGTTTCATAAATATCTGGCAAGAATTGTACACATGAGAGTGCTAATGGTGCAATTTTCCATATAATTTATGTTTCGAAGGGGTATAACTCTTTTAAAAATAGTTGACCGGCACTGATTTTCGAACTTGTCAAACACATTGCTGATATAAACCTTCTATATAAGTTTCATAAGTATCTGGCAAGAATTGTACACATGAGAGCGCTAACGATGCAATTTTCCACATAATTACAAGCTCATCCAAGACATTGCTGAAATAAACCTACAATATAAGTTTCATTAAAATCTGGCAAGAATTGTACACATGAGAGCGCTAATGATGCAATTTTCCTTAAAATTAATGTTTCCAAGGGGCATAACTCTTTTAAAAAAAGTTGAGCAGCAGTGATTTTGGAGCTTGTCCGAGACATTGCTCATATATAAATCTATGATATAAGTTTTATAAAAATCTGGCAAGAATTGAACATATGAGAGCACTAACAAGTTCAGACGGATGGACAGACGCCCAGTGTTTCTATGTCCCCCGCGATGTGTTGCGCAAGAGGGCAATAATATATGAATAAGATGAAATAATAACAAAAT